TCACAAATAAAAATAAAAAAAATAATAATTTGGCACAAGAAATAAATTTTGAAATTTTGACTTAGGATCAATTTTGGTAAAAATAAAAATTTTTAGGAGATAAATTTTATAACTAAACTAGACATGATACTTATTTTAGGAAATGATGTTTTTGAGTGATTGATATATTCTAAAAAGCACAACTAACTTCTTATTTTAAAAACTCTAAATTAGTGCCCACTTTAGGTTCTTAGTTACCTTTAATATTAAATGATGACTCCAAAATCAATATTAACTCACACCTTTGAACAAACAAAATTTTTAACTTAAATTTTCGAGAGTTCCGCGAACCTTGGGTAGCGACATGAGTAATATATTTAGTTCTCAACTAAATGAGTCTTTGACTTTAACTCATTTGAAATTAAGTCTTTAAATTTCAACTTTAATTTTTAGAATTCCTAAACTTTTATTTTTTGAAGATTTAACTCATCTTTTATTTTTCTATCATTTCTCTCAAAAACTAACAATCACGTAAATAGATTTATAAAGGAAGTAATTAGCAAAATTTATATGAGGTTCCTAAATAATTTTGGGATTATTTTTAGTTTATTTTCTATTTTTTATGATTTTTATATTTTTAATTTTCAATAAATAAATAAATATATTTTGAAAATTTTGAAAATTTTTAAAGATATTTTTATGAAAAATGAAATTGATTTTTTCTGATTTATGAATTTTTTTAACTTTTTTTTTAATAAAAGAGAACGATAGCTGAGAATTATTGAACGAATTAAATTTAAAAAAAAATCATAAATTCTAAAAAATAAAAATAGAATTCAGAAACTGGATTTTAAATTAATTAAATTTGAAGAGAAGTTTAACTCGTTTAGCTTTATCCCTTCCACTAAAGTTGTTATAAGCTGAATATTGGACCATGTGAGGCCCTCTGGGCAGACTTTTAAAAAGCCCATCAATTCTCCATAAGTCTAGTGTCTTGGACAACAAACAGATTATTTGTATCTCCGACTTACGGATGAATAAAAATTAAAAAAGTCTGGAAAAGTCTGAGAATTTATTTTGAAAGTCTCTAGTCAAGCAAGGAGAAAAACTATGTCGATCCATGTTCATTTCCTTCTATTTAATTTACTAGCTATTTTTAAAAATATTACAGATTTTTCATAGAAATTTATTTAGTTTAGGATCTTTTAGTTAAAAAAGCACATTTTAGCTAATTCAAACTATATATGCATTGAGACTGGTTCAGATAAAGACTAATCTGATCCTAATTAAAGAAATGAAAGATAGTGTTTGAAGTATTCAGTTTGCTGAAATGCTCGGGCATTAAGAAGGATCACAGATTTTGGCAATTAATCCATAATCATAGGGGATTTTTTTTTTTTTCATTTTTTAAATGTTCATACTTGATTCAGAATACTATGCGTATAGAATACGAGGTGGAGCCATAATTTAATGATTTCGTACAAGAATGCCTATGATCTACTCTCAAACCATCCAACTATCAAAAACATAGTACGTATTTAAAAAAATATATATTACAAAAAAAAAACTAAATTAAAACCATTGGTTACTATTAATTATACTATTTGAAGCACTATTTATTAAGATTCATTCATACTACTCACTCGGACTCGATGCATTATTCTTTTTGCTATACGAGTGATATTTTTATAATTTTCAAATATTTTTAAGATATTTATTATGAAAGTTTTCGTAACATTATACTTTAATATCTTTTTTAAATATTATTTTTTTAATCAATAAATATTTTTTATTTGATTTTAGTCCTATTTTTTATTTAATTTTGATCACTATGGTCCTTTTTTTTATTTTTTTAATTAAAAATTTTAAGGTAAAAAGATGTTTAGAAAAAAGCAATTTACAAAATAAGGTTTTAACTAAAAATGTTGATAGATATAAATAAATAATATTTTTTTAATAAAAAATTTATGAAAATATAAAAAATAATTAGTCGAATACAAAATTTTAATTAAAAAAATGATAAAATTGAATGAATTTTTATTCTAATTGGATTTAATATATTTTGATAGACGTACAATATAACATGAGATATTAAAATAAAATAATTTTTAAAAATAATTTTATATATTTTATTCGACCTACAATGTAACGTGGGTAAAAAAATTAATATTAATGTCAAGGAGAAGAAGAAGAACAATCTATGGGTATAGGACCCATCCAGCTTAGGTTGCCGCTCAAATCATATAATTAAATTAATTTCTATTTAAATAAAATGAATTTACATAAGGTCTTTTTTGTTTTTTTGGGAATAGCAATGTATGGTCTTAAGCTTGGGAGTAAATTATAAATTAGTTTTTCTAATTTTGAAAATAAATTAAATAATATCTTTTATTTAAAAAGTTAATTAATTAGTCTCTTAATTAGTATTGATTATGATTAATTTAATATTATTTTGTTTAAAAAAATGTTTCTAAGTGATCTTACATATCATATTTTTTACTTATTTTTTTATTTATCAAATCAAAAATAAAAAACAAATTAAAAATAATGAAAAGAATTAAGTTGTAAATAGATTTAAAAATATAAAAACTAATTAATTAGTTATTTAAACTAAAGGAACTATTTAATTCTTTTGAAAAAAAAACTGAAGGATTAGTTTATAATTTAATCTGTTAAGTAGTTGATCATCAGAACTGCAGTTAAGTTTATTTGAATTTGGAAACAGCTGCAGCCGCATTTTCTGACCTTTTCACGGTAAATTGTACGTAGACCAACACTGGAAATTTCTGCATCGTCAAACTTAACCAAGTCCAAATTTCTTTTGGACCTGCTCTGTTTAATTTGCCGACATCCCGGAATCTTTTACTACGTCAATTGCATGCACAAAGGCATGTTTCTTAGTTCACGGTTGGTCATTCAATTTCAGATTCTTCTAAACTATTCTTGTCTTTGGTTCTATCCAAATTGAATGCATTTACTTTACATTCGTCCGAGTGTGTTAATATGCGATCCCAAAAAAATAAAAAATAAAAAAAGGATTGATGATAAACATAAGGATAAAGAGTGACTCAATGGTAGGGGTTTTGAATTTTTAATAAGAGGTTTAAAATTAAAATCCTATTTTTTGCGTCTCTTTGCATCCATCAAAAATTTCATATATACGCTTTTTATAGCCATCATAAACTTTATGCATGCTTTTTCAGTTCTAAGCAGGGGCGGACCCAGGTAGAACCCTACAGGGGCCTGGCCCCCTCCCCCCATCCAACTTCTTTTCTTTTCTTTTCTTTTTCGTCGTGAAATATGCCATGACATGCTACACTCTTTTATTATCTTTTTTATTTTATTATAATTTTATTTTTAATATCACATCATCTTAATTCATGTTTTAATTAATTTTTTTAGAATGCTTTAATTGAAATTTTAATTAACTTAACGATAAATGAGTATATTTTTACATAAAATAATTAATTTGAAAGCTTAAATAAATGTAAAAATATACTTATTTTCATATAAAATATTTTCTATGCACAGAAAAATTCACCTAGGTTCATAGAATATTCTTATACCCCTTTAATGATTTTTCTATACTCATTGAATAATTTTCAAACATATTTAAAATACTCAAAATAATTAATTTGCACAAAAAACATTATTCATGCATAGAAAATATTCACTAAACATTAAAAAATTCACCCAATAGCACAAAATAATCTAACACCCCTCAAGTAAATATTCTATGCAAATAAAATATTTTTCATGCACATTTAAAATACTCAAAATATTTATTTTGCATAAAAAGTTACTATTCATGCATCAAAAAATATATAAAATATTCATTTAGTACAGAAAAATTATCCTAGAGAGATGCATATATCATTTAGGATTGATGTCATTTGTAAGTTGATGTAGAAATTTTATCCTCAAGACTTTTTAGATCATGAAATGCTACAATTAAAGATGCAATTTGAGTGTTTTGATCACCTATAAAATCTTTTTAATTTCAAAACATTGTCGGCTATATCTAATTTTATGTCAATGGTTGATGAAGATAAGAAAATTTGAAAGTTATCCGCTTTGTATAGAGTGATAACACTTATTCTTACTTGTTCGGTTTTTACGGTTACCACGGAACGGTCATTTTCGGCTATGAGCACAGTCAAGACTAAATTTTGTAACAAAATAAAAAATGACTTTCTTTTCGATTCTTTGTTGGTATATATTGAAAAAGAAATTGCTGAAAATTTTAGTATAGGTTTGCTTATAAATGATTTTCGTTACTTGAAAGAACGAAGATTTCTATTTTGAGAATATTTAAAAATATATATTGATATATTATTTCTAATATGTATAAGTTTGTGTAAATCATTACAAATTTATAAATATTTATTTTGGCCCATGTAGACGTTTGGTCTTGCATCCGCTATCGGTTCTAAGAGTATGAGAAACTTGAAACTTTCGATTTTAAAACTAATCTGTACCTATTAAAAATAATTAAAGAAAAGGAAACTTGGAATTTTCGGTTTTAAAACAAATTTATACCTACTAAAAATAGTTAAAGGATAGTCAATTTTCAAGTTATCAAAAAATATTTGCGTAGTTAGGTTAATATAATCACCAATTGAAACATGATTTATAAATATGATATTGATGACTTATGAAGATGGAAGGAAATGAACTTTTAATTTTGTGGGAAGTGAAACTATAACTATCTTATCAATTTTTCAATTAATTATCCATTCCTATAGATTAAATCTTAAGTTTTCGAAAAAAAGTGACCAACTAGAAAATGTTTTTATTGGTTTGTATTGAAAAAACAAAAGGTGCGTTTGAACCATCAAACAAAATAAGAGCCTAATTAACATATTACGAAAAGGTTTCCAAAACATTAACAACTATTTAGATTTCTATTCTTGGACATCTTCGGTACCCAAAATTGTTGTGTAATGTTTCAAATAATTGTATTGCATGAGGCAAGTTTGCCCAATAATGATCATTATGTACACGATACAAAAAGGCTCCAATCAGCAAGATGGATAAGTAGACATCAAATTAGCAGGAATGCAAGCAGAACTCCTCCAAACCTTGGAGTGCAACTTGAGGATCTCTCTAGCTCTCTCCTTGCTCTTCAAGCTACTATCCACTTGCGAAACCAAGCACAACTTGGCCACAACACCAACCTGCAACATTTCTTGAAGAACCCTAGAAGTTGCTGAAAATCTACAAATGGAGCACAGAATTCTCACTTCCTTATCACTTGCAACGTGAGAAACCCTAAGTATTTTCTTGGAAACAACTGCGAGTCCTGCCTCATGCTTGAATAACTTTGCTCGTCCCTCAGCACAACCACAAAGCAGATCCAAAACAGCTAGAATAAGTTCACAAGCTCTCTTGTCTGATGCATCAAGAAGAAGCTCAATATTGAACGATTTAAATTATAAAAAAAAAAAAAAAAATTAAAATTCAGAAATTCTAAAAAACAAATTTATAGTTCCCAAACTCAATTTTAAATTAATTAAAATTCAAGAGAAGTTTAACCATTTAGCGTTGTTCCTTCCAATAAAGTTGTCATAGGCTGAATATTGGATCATGTTAGGCCCTCTGGGCAGACTTTTAAAAAGCCCATCAATTCTCCGCAAGGCTAGTGTCTTGGACAACAAACAGATTATTTGTATCTCCAACTTACGGATGAATAAAAATTAAAAAAGTCTGGAAAGTCTCGAGTCCAAGTAAGGAGAAAAATTATGTCGACCTATGCTCATTTCCTTCTATTTAATATTCTACTTATTTTTAAAAATAAGTAGAATATTTAACAGATTTTTCATAGAAATTTATTTAGTTTTGGATCTTTTAGTTAAAAAAGCACATTTTAGCTAATTCAAACTATATATATATATATATGAATTGAGACTGGTTCGGATAAAGACTAATCTAAATATCTGATCCTCATTATAGAAATGAAAGATAGGTGGTGTTTGATAAAACTGAAAATTAAGTGTTGAATCTATTAAGTACTCGAATTTTAAGTGCTCGAATCTGTTAATTACTCGAATATGTTCATCGACAAGTCGTTTAGTATTAACTAAAAATTAAGTACTGAATATAATAAGCATGTTTGAAGATGATAGAATATATATGATATATTTTAAGATTTTAGTTTGAACATATGTATCCGATTATATCACTCTTATTGTTTAAAATTTATTTTTTTCAATTATTTTTTTCTTATTAAAATTCTCATCAAATTAATTTTTGATATAATTTTATTTGTTAATAAATTTGATTTTTTAATATATGAATTTTGGAATAAAATTTTATAACGTCAATGTTTTATTTTTTAAAAATATATTATTATAATTTATATAATGAATTATTTTTATGCTTTTCAAATGAGTATTTTATTTTTCAAAATATATTATTATAATTTATAAATTCGATATATATATATATATATATATATATATATATATATATATATATATGAGAGAGAGAGAGAGAGAGAGAGAGAGAGAGAGAGAGAGAGAGAGAGAGTATGTTTTAGATAGTTTGACTTAATCAAATAAGTTTAAAAAATTTAATATGAGATTATTTAAGTTATCAAACGAGATTTTTATATTAAGTAGTACAACTTAATTTTTTAAGTTACTTAATTAGATTATTAAACAACCCCATAGTGTTTGAAGCATTCAGTTTGGTGAAATGCTCGGGCATTATTAAGGATCAAAGATTTTGGTAATTAATCCATAATCATAAAGGATTTTTTTTTCACTTTTTTTTAATGTTCATACTTGATTCAGAATACTATGCGTATAGAATAAGAGTTGGAGCCATAATTTAATGATTTCGTTCAAGAACGTCTATGATCTACTCTCAAGCTATCCAATTATCAAAAAATACTAAGTATTAAAAAAAAAAAAAAAAGGAGATGTAAATCCTAACGTGAAGAAGAAGAATCAATGGCGATAGGACCCATCCAGCTTAGGTTGCGGGTCAAATCATATAAGTAAATCAATGTTTGTTTAAATAAAATGAATTTACATATGGTCTTCTTTCTTCTTCCTTCTTTTTTGAATAGCAATATACGGTCTTAAGCTATTGGGAGTAAATTATAAATTAGTTTTTCTAGTTTTGAAAATGATTTAAATAATCTCTTTTAGTTTAAAAACTAATTAATTAATCTCTTAATTGATGTTGATTATCATTAATTTAATATTATTTTGTTTTAAAAAAAGTTTCTCATCCATCTTACATATCATATTTTTTTACTTATTTTTTTATTTATCAAATCAAAAAATAAAAACAAAATAGGTTGAAACGAACAAAGTTACAAACAAATTTAAAAATATAAAATTAATTAATTAGTTATTAAAACTAAAGGAACTATTTAATTCTTTTGAAAAAAACTAAAGGGATTAGCTTATAACTTACTCTCTTAGGTGGTTGATCGTCAGAACTGCAGTTTAACTTTATTGAATTTGAAAACAGCTGCAGCCGCATTTTCTTACCTTTTCACGGTATATTGTATGTAGACAAACACTGGATATTTCTGTATCGGCAAACTTAACCAAGTCCAAATTTCTTTTGGACCTGCTCTGTTTAATTTGCCGATATCCCTGAATCTGACTACGTACATTGCATGCAAAAAGGCATGTTTCTTAGTTCATTGTTGGTCATTCAATTTCAGACTCTTCTAAACTATTCTGGTCTTCGGTTCAATCCAAATTGAATGCATTTACTTTACATTCGTCCGAGTATGTTAACATGCGATCCCAAAAAAAGAAAATAAAAAAGGATCGATTATAACCATAAGTATAATGAGTGCGTCAATGGACGGAGTTTTGAACTTTCAATTGGAGGTTCAAAGTTTAAATCTTATTTTTCATATCTCCTTTTACTCGCAAACCTTATGCATAAGTCTCTTTGTAGTCACTACGAACCTTATGCATGCTTCTCCAGTTCTAAGATTGCGAGAAATTTAAAATTTTCGATTTTAAAACTAATGTATACCTACTTAAAATAGTTGAAGGATAAAAAAATTGAAACTTCCGATTCTAAAATTAATCTGTACTATTAAAAATAATTGAACAATAGTCAATTTTCGAGTTATCAAAAAATATGTACGTAGTTAGGTTAATATGATCATGGATAAATCTGATATTAGTGATTTATGATAATGGAAAGAAATGAACTTTTAATTTTGTAGGAGGTGAAACTATAACTATCTTATAAATTTTTCAATTAATGATCCATTCCTATAGATTAAATCTTAAGTTTTCGAAAAAAAGTGACCAACTAGAAAATGTTTTTATTGGTTTGTATTGAAAAAACAAAAGGTGCATTTGAACCATCAAACAAAATAAGAGCCTAATTAACATATTACGAAAAGGTTTCCAAAACATTAACAACTATTTAGATTTTTATTCTTGGACATCTTCGGTACCCAAAATTGTTGTGTAATGTTTCAAATAATTGTATTGCATGAGGCAAGTTTGCCCAATAATGATCATTATGTACACGATACAAAAAGGCTCCAATCAGCAAGATGGATAAGTAGACATCAAATTAGCAGGAATGCAAGCAGAACTCCTCCAAACCTTGGAGTGCAACTTGAGGATCTCTCTAGCTCTCTCCTTGCTCTTCAAGCTACTATCCACTTGCAAAACCAAGCACAGCTTGGCCACAACACCAACCTGCAACATTTCTTGAAGAACCCTAGAAGTTGCTGAAAATCTACAAATGGAGCACAGAATTCTCACTGCCTTATCACTTGCAACGTGAGAAACCCTAAGTATTTTCTTGGAAACAACTGCCAGTCCTGCCCCATGCTTCAATAACTCTGCTCGTCCCTCAGCACAACCACAAAGCAGATCCAAAACAGCTAGAATAAGTTCACAAGCTCTCTTGTCTGATGCATCAAGAAGAAGCTCTATCAAGACCGAAACTGCGCCACCTTCGACAGCTTTGATTCGGTTTCTTCCCCATGGACAAACCTCCACAAGAAGCTTCAATGCTACCTTTGAGGCTTTTTGTGAGATCTGATCCTTAAGTACACGTACCAATTCAACAAACATTTCCGGTCTGATACTAATCAAATGCATCGGATCTGCCACTTCGAAAACAGACTTCAATAACATTGTTGCATAAGCTCTAGATTGATAGCTACTATGTTTGAAGATTTGCAGTAACGACTCTAGAAACTGATCACCATCATTGGTTATAAGATTCTTTAATTGATTCTGTGATATTTTGAGATGATAAAGAATGTTCAATGCTTCATCACTTGCTCTTGTGAACTCAGACTCATCATCATCACTAGCTATGTCAACTGAAGTAGAATCACTATTTTTTAAGATTGAAGCCAAGAAACCAACTGCACCAGCTTGCTCTAGACAGCTTCTGTTCCTTTCGCTTTCCAGCGTGATGGATCTAAGCCTCCGTAGACTCTTGAGCTGCAAGTGTGGAGATTTCTTAGCATCATTAAGGAGTTTGGCGATCTGGGCTCTGTCAATGAGTGGCTTTGGAGTTGGGATTCTCTCGATTCCGGAGGAGGCATTGAGGGTGCACCATGCTTGGATCAATCGACGAAGAGTGTGGTTTGGGATTAGATCTTCAGCAAACAACTTTTGCTTTGTGACAGGGCAAGTGTTGTTTTTGCATGAAAATAACCACCTCTCAATGTTCTCTCTATCATAGGTGATCCCAGTTGAGATTGTAACCGGATCTTTCATGAGTTGAAGGGAAATTGGGCAAAGAAAATGACATGGAACATCGATTTGATCCATTTTGAATAAACAAACAAATTTTTACAACACAAGGAAAAAAAAAAGAAGAAGAAGAAGGAGAAGAAGAGAGAGCTCGAACAATATGATCAATCGAACCAAGAATACACTAATCTTTTGGAATGGCCAAAAGGAGATTGGAGAGAGAGCTATGGCAATTAAAAAGCTGAAAAATGGAATTTCTTGAATGGAAATCTCGCCTTCCGAGTTGCGTATAGCTAGCTAGCAGTTGGCAGATAGCTTTTAATTGTTGGAAGTTGTGAGGAATAGGGATGCGGCTTTATATTTATATGGAAGTTGCAAGATCGAAGGCAATTAAAGTCAACACACGGAAAATTAGAGGGGATGCATTAATTTAGGACCTTTTCCAAGGTTTTGGAAGGAGAAAAACTAAAAAAAATAAAAGAGTGGACTTTAGCTTTATTAGAGAAATAGATGAACGAATGGAGGGGGGAGGGGACTATTCTCTTCTCTTGGGACAATAGTCGGTGTTGCAAGGTGCGTTATAAGTATCTTACTTGGGCTTTTGACTTTGATCTTTTTCAATGACTCAAGGCGGCCGGACAGATTGGTGGTCTCTGGCTAGCTAGATGGTGGATGTTGCATGGCTGGTGCCGACAGCTTCTCATGTGCCTCATGGGGTTTCCTACGCATTTCATGGGTTGCTGTCTTAACTCTTAATTATTACTCCTTTCAATTCCCTTTTTTTCAGTTTTTTAACTAGATAGGTAACATCCCAAGGATCCGGTCAATTTTGGAAGTTTGAGGCTTTTGTTTAAGAAATCCTAGATTGACTACTTACCGTTATGTGTACTTTTCATCCCAAGATCATATATAATTAAAAACCCATTATTGAATGATGCTACTTGAATATGTAAGAGTTAGGGAAATGGTCCTGCATAAATTTTTGACATGGCCTAATTAAAACGATCCTTAATTTAACTTAAATTTCTGTTCTGACTATTTCTGACCATGATTCAGATTTCTATCTCTTCATCAAATCAATAGTCCAGGATATGGAATGCTATCCTTGTTAAATACTGCGATTCTCCTTTGCTTGTCCTTTTCCTTATTAAAAGGGTTGATGCCAGATGTTATCTCATGCAATGCTGCCTCGGAAAACTCAAATGATGTTCATCTGCTTAATAATTATCCCTAGCTACACCAGTTGAGTAGCTAGCCACATTGATGTTTAAAACTTTGTTTAGATTTTGGGTCTCTGTAGTACTTGATTATGATCCATGTTTGGGATTTTGTTTTTCCATGATTAATTTTCTTTTAACGTCTGAGATCACATAAATATCATTCATAGTTGAAATCAAGAAACCAAACGTAATTTTTATTTGTAAAACTAGATTCAAATTTAGAAAATCATTAATTATTTTCTATTCGCATCTTAAAAAAAAAAACTTTTTTTAATTAAATATAGAACTATTATAAAGTAAATTTCAATTACAAAAATACGCGACTTATATAAAATTATAAATAGCTAATTTGACAACTCTAGCCAGCTAATGCGCCACCTCTAATGATATTGACATTTATAGTTTGAAGTTTTTGAATATGTATTAAGATAAAATGTACAACATTTTTTTTATATCAATTTACAAAAATATTTGAACTCAATTCTAGTAGTAGAAAATAAGGATCACAACTAACCATTTAGACTCGTGACTTATCAGTACAACATGCACGCTTGCTGAGGCAGTTGACTTGCAAAAAAAAAAAAATCATTGGCGAAAACTGTTAGCGATTGATCATATTTTTCGTTTGATTAAATATTCATTCAGAAATTTAGATCCGCACAAACTTCTTGAACCTTTCATTTTGTGTTGGTAGGAGCCAGGGCTAAGACTATTAATTTGTTGGTAGGAGCTTGCTAGTCCAGCTAAATTTTGTACTCTTTTTTTTTTTTTTTCCTCCCCTCCTGCTGCTGTTTTTAAAAGATTTGGACCCGACAAGGTATGTTTATCTCACAAGTACGTATGTGAATATATGTCAAAATCTTTTTCTTTCTATTAAGAAATGAAAATGACATATCTATTTCGTTATTTTTTTCAAAGAGGTCAGATTCTATTTATGACAAAAGTAAAAGAAATATTTATTTCTTTATCAATATATCATTTAAGATTATTCTAGATTATATATATATATATATATTAGGCCTTCAATGTAATGCATGTGTACGCACGTCCTGGTGTATGTATCTTCTTTTTTTATGAAAAAATACTGTGTGTATATATGTATATCTCTTATTTTTCATTTTATAATGTTTCTTAATTTATGTGGCATAATATTTTCAGGAATTTAATAAGTTTCATTAAATTTTACTTAATAGTTTGTAGTTCCTCTGGTTAATTCTTTGATGCTTACAGAGGCGGACAAATTAATAGTGTTACAATGATCTTAAGATTGATTCAATAAATTAGTTGATCATTAAGTATTTACAAGGTTGAACTTCAGCACTACAATATCTACGTGCGAGATCATTTTCAATATATTTTTTTAAGTCATAGCCAAGCTAGTTTTCATTTTAAATTTCATGTCTGATAATACTCTTTTGGTTAATTTTTAATTTGATGCTTCGTGGATTGCAGTGCCAACCCATTCGATGTGAAACTGATCTGATCAGAGATCATAAATAATTGAAAAATATATTAAATACTGGTATAAATATACGTATAAACAAACTAACAAGCCGATCAGAAACTATAATAAATATAGGCTAACGATTCCTTGCCCAAGACACAGCTCACATACACACCAATACCAATGGCCATTAATTAATTCAAGCACCCTTTTGACCACTTAATTAGCACGAAATCACACATCCAATGCCCCTGCGTAGTTCACACAATATGTGCCTGCCAAATTTTCCTTTTCTTAAGTAAAGTAGAATTAAATGGTACAAATCTCTTATTGCTTCCTATAGGAAGATTTAATTAGCAACACGATCTAATTAATTGTTTTGATGTTTGCTCATATTTGAGATTCTTACAATTAAAATCTTGGATAAATTGTGAATCAATATTAATCTAGATAAGAGAAATTTCATTCATCTTCATATTTTTAACCTTTTTTATTCGGTATTAATAACATTTGCTACTGTTGAGTATTATTCTGTAGTTTATTATTTTATTGCCATTCGAATGCGTACTTGAATTGTCTATAACTTCACATAAATTCTTTAAACCAATATTTTGGTAATAGCAACCTATCAATTTGGCTTTCATTAAGAAAATGAAATTTACTTGAGAAGATAAATTTTTGAGTGACTAGATTAATTTTGATTTATATATTTTTAGTTAAAATTAAAATTGAAAGAGATATTAAAAAAAAATTAGAAGGTAAATATCATATACAATAAAGGGGAAAAAAAAAGTTAACAAGCAATCTCTAACTTCATTTCTTTTAAGAATCTTTAATCCTCAATTTAATTCAAAATTGCAAGCTCTTGTTGTGTGTATTGATCTTTCGCTTTTCACATATCTTGATCATAGAAAAGATTGGCAAATCTACAAGAAAATAGAGAGGAGGTGATAAGTTGAAAATATATTAAATACTGGTATATTGACTTTTTTTTTTTTTTGCCAACGACTCTATTTTTTTGTGGTGTGTACCAATCTTCATCAATTAAGTTTGAGTGTATTTTTCTTCGTCTAATCATGTATATATATATATATATATACACACACACACTTCAGCGTCGAGTCTAACAATCGTGGGGGAGAAGACAATTGAGACTAAAAACAGAAAAATATTGATTGGCATAGTTTCTATTATCCACATATACTGATCGGCAATCTCTCTCCCTTCCTCTGACTTCCTCGACCTAGCCTGATAAATTTTTCTCAGAAACCTAGAATAACTCTATCCTCTAAATGTGTTCTTGCCTCTCTCTTTTTTTTTTTTTTTCTGGAAAAAAAAAGAAACAAAAAATAAAAAAGGTACGATATCCTTCTTCTCTATAAAAACCTTGGAGGCTTTTCTAGGCTGCCTGTGCTGGACTACGGCTTCGGGTTACTCAATTACACTGGGCTTGTATGTAAACATTGGGCTTCTAAATGGTTCTGGTGCCGTGGCTTAAGTTCACCCTTGTTTACTGTTTAGGCTCTTATTCAGCCCAACAAAATTGCCCCCTCCCCCCCCCCCCCTTTTTACCTTATAGTTCAGATTGTCCTTAGTGAAAATTACATGAAATAATTATATAAGGTCCCAACCAAATTAATTAAATTAATATCCGCTAAATTAGTCAAGTGTAGCAACTAATCAAACGATTTTGATTTACACGGAACTAATTCGTATAACATCATTTCAATAGAGTACACGTATTATTATTGTTTTATTTTATTTTTTTAAGTGTGAAAATTATTTCTCAGGTTAGTTTGCGTATTAATAGAAACGAAATCTCATTTTCCGTACAATTTTGAATATACACCTACTACAATGATAGAAAACAAATCTCCTTAATCATCAAGTCTATTTGTTCAGGTTATCAACTAAGGTAATTTATTTATAAAATATTGAAACTATAAAATATGATATTTTCTTAGTAGTTTCTTTGCTTCTTTTGTTTTTTTTTTTCCCATTTAACCATAAGGACATGAAAATGTACTAATAAAAACACTTATAAATTATAATGCATCCTCAAGCAACGGCGTAACATTTAAAACTTGAAAATATTTTATCAGGAGATCTCAAGTTAAAATTTGAAAGAAAATATATGAGGTGGGGTTATGAGGAATCAGCAACCTGATTTTGTAGCTCCAGACCGATTGAACTTACCGTTGAACCAAAATATAAATGCTAAAGTAATCGTTGTAATTTTTATTTATATCTGTCCGAATATTCTAGTCTGGTCAAAATCTTAAGTACTATATATTTTTTTAAAATATCCTAATTAATTCTTTCTATCATTTCTTGTTTTTTACTGGCTAGAAAATCAATATTCGTTATTATTTATTTTTTTAGAAAAAAATATCATGATTATATTCAAGACAAATTAGTTGTCCTATGCGCTTCAATTTTTCATATAAATTGGACCCATACTAGCATGACATGAGGCCAATTGTCTTGGATTGCTGGCAAAAGTTTTTCAATCAAACATGAATGGATTACATCTTTAGTAATCGACATTATATGTTTTGTTTTATTTATGAAAAACCACTTCTCGTCTATGTGAATATAGTTGTAAATATCAATAAACATGTGATTAGAATGAATAATACCTTTGTCAATCATTGAGATGCAAAATTTTAGCGTTGCTTTCTTATTGTCTTCAGTCAAGAATGGTTTGAGTATATTTGAATGGGGCTGATGACCTCATCCTCAATCCGTCTATGGAGTGCTGATTTCGACACATTCAAGGCTTTGGCCATTGATCTTATGTTTGAAGTAGAGGCATTTCTGTGATTTGTTGGAGATCAATCTCCACTTGTTTCCGTCCAGTTTTTTATGGTATCTTTGAAGAGGCATCGACCACAACACTATTGGAGAAGCAATTTGTTCGTTGATGCCAAATTTTGGTGACTGTTTCTGTTGAAAGAGAAAACATAGTTGCAAATTGCAAAATAGATCCACGTTTTAGCTTGCTATTTATACTTTGTTTCAACAAAATCTCAAAAACATTTTGTCTTTTTTTATTTGTCAAATTTTATTATTTTTATAGCTATTTTGGGTGATTTTATCTGGTGAAGTATCCATATTTTGGCTTGGCATGTATTAAGAAGTTATAGATATGGTACGTGCTGTTTATATCCCACCCAAAACTTCAAATTTAGAAGATTGTGAAATGAAAATTTTGTATCTGGCCCCTTAATTTGTACTAATTTTTTGGCTTAAAATTTAATGGGAATTTAGGATTTCTTAATGATCTCTACATCTTTAAAAAAAAAAAAATTCAAGTTAAATTTGGGAGAGACCAAAAAATTTTATTTGGCAGCTTGATTTTGGGACTAATTTTTTGGCTTAAATTTTCATGAGAAATTTTAAAAAGCTTAATGATCTCTAAATCTTTCTAAAAAGCAATTCAACTTAAATTCAAGGAGGAAGAAAATCTTGATTTAGCACCTTGATTTTGGAACTAATTTTTTGGCTTAAAATTTCATGAGAAATATAAAAAGGCTTAATATTCTCTAAACCTTTCTATAAAAATTTCTAACTTAAATTTAGGATAATGATCTTTAGATTTGTTTTCTAAAATAATAAAAAAAAATCAATTGCATTTAGGAGGGACGAAAATCTTGATTTGTCACTTTGATTATGAAACTAATTTTTTTGGCTTAAAATTCCATGAGAAATTTAGGAATGCTTAATGATCTCTAAATCTTTCTAAAAAATTTCCAACTTCAATTTAAAAGGGAGGCAAATCTTGATTTGGCATCTTGATTTTGAGACTAATTTTTTAGCTTAAAATTTTATGAAACAATCAGGATTTCTTAATGATCTTTGTATCTTGTTAAAAAAAACATTCCAACTTAAATCTAAGAAGGACAAAAATTTTAATTTAACATCTTGATTTCAGGAGAGTTTAATGATTTTGATATTTTTTTAAAAAAATATATAAATAAAAAAATCATATATCATAACAATTAACATTTTTTAAAACTGGATGAAAAATAAAAGAGAATGAACATTTTGAGACAGAGGGGAGTAATTATAATGCGAGCCATATACCCAGCACAACTAAAGCAAGTGATGTCTCATCCATTGCTCAGGCAGTAGCGTGAGCAACAGTTACTTGTTGGAATCGGTTGATGTAAATGTAGCTGGTGGACAGGATCCAACAGCATAGCCTCCTACCTTTGGCTATGTGCCCTACCTTCCGATTCTACCATGCAACAGCCTTTTAGAACCTTTTCCTTTGCATCTATGGCTTCTTCTTCTTTCTTTATTTATTATTATTATTATTTTTTTCAAATTAATAAAGAGTCAAACATCATAGGCTAAGATTCCAAAATGCAATCTTGCAAGTTCCAAGGCTTTGGTACGGTAATAATCTTTTTTCTTTCTTTCAGTACCCACTCATCCTTTTTGCGATAATGCATTGTGTTTTATAAGATTTTTTAATGGATTTAGCACCGACATGTTGCTACGGTCGATCTATCCACTTGCACCGAGTGTTCTTATATTTGGATGAGTAACAGTGGTGCTGAGATTGGGGCATCAAATGGGTGGTTCTCATTGAACGAACTATTTAGTTGTCCCGATTTCAACTTTTTGTTTTGTGGTTTGTGAAAATATGCCAAAATGATGTCGTTGATTTTATTATATTTGCGAATCAATTTATATACTAATCGAACTTAAATTTTATTTTTTCAAAAAAAATTAAGGATACAGCCATTTCATCAACCTGATACATTAAAAACAAAAACAAACTCTGCATATTGAGTTTAAAATTGGAATTTAAGAAATTAAGAGAGAGGGTATACTTTTTTAATTGTCACGCCTAATTCTTGAAGTTATTTGACTAAATATACAAAATGAATAGATGATATGGAGTGCCTTGTTTAATAAGCATACGACAGAAACTTTCTGAGAGGCATTCATACCTAATGTCGGCCACATTTCCAAATGAGGTTGAACAATCCAATTGCAGGATACAATAGATTCGCATGTTGATCAATCCACACGAGAAGGTAGGTTTTCATGTTCTTTGGTTACTAATAATTGTGAGCTAACCCAATTTCAATGCTTAGTGTTGCAAGCAAACGAAAAAAGAAAAAAGAAAAAAAACGGCGAACTAAATCTAATTTCTTTTCTAGCTCTTTCTAATTTTAAATTTAATCTGGATTCCATGCTATTAATTATTTATTGGCCCCACAAAAAAAGAAAAAACCATCCTTTCATTCAATATTACTAGGAAATAATGTATTTTTTTTTCCACAGCTTTATAATTCGATGCTATTTTTACAGAAGATGCAGTCTTAAAATCATTAGTTTTGCTTGATGTGCAGATATATATATATAAAAGCGTAAGTGTATCGAATAATTTAAAATCTTTTTTAATCTCTCACATTGTAATTAAGGCACAATCTGAACTAAATTCGATGAGGAAAACACTAATATAATTATCATTTAAAGGTAAGAACTTTGTTAGCTTTATCCCAAAAGGGAGCAAGCAAGTAGCATATAGAAGAACTTAGACATGACTAGCACAGATTTTTGTCTTTGGAAAGTAATGATTTCCATCTACCATCTTGTTACATCAACTCAACACCGAGCAACATAGTTATGCTTACTTTCATTTTTATCAATCATGCATATATATAATATATAGATGCCAGACAATGCAAGCTTTGCCCTATGGTAACTTCCATTTGGTCGGTTTTTTTAGGCTCGCACTTGATATGATATCCTTTTCCACCTCGTTTTAGAGATTCCAATTAGAGGATATCCACAAAACAA